TAAATATGTAAGAAGCAGAAACTTGTCAGGTTTGATAAACCAGAATCAAACAAAATTTAGCTAGAATTGATATTCTTTCTTAGATGCATTGGTCAAAATTTTGATTGAAGATTTATTAATCTATTTTATATGGCCAATTTCTGAATTCCGGCTGTTATGTAGTACCGTTACGCGTTACTCGTTACGTATTGATAAACATTACACATGCATATCAGATATTACACATGCTACGCACTCCTATGTACGTACGAACGTACTTACTTCCATGTTTTATTCTAAGAAACTTTTATTTTCTGTTAGAAAAAAATATTTATATGAGAATCTTAGAATTTATAAACTTAAATAAATTGTTAATAATGTATGAAAAAAGAGTAAATGCTTTAAATTTCTAAAATATTTGGAACAAGTTCAAAATATCCGAATTTTCGGGTTTTAAAAGAAAGTTATCGGAAGCTTTCATTATTCACAATCGTTATATTTACCTATAAAATTTTGTTAATAATATTAATGTATTTTAATGCTTTATCAAATTTTGACACATTCCTTTTGTTTATTTTATTTTTCCTTTTACAACAGCCATTTTTAGTTTTTTCTAAAGGAGGGGGAGGTGATGGTTCTTCTTCATCATCTAGTTCGTATGGTGGTAGCTCAAGTTCTAGTTCAAATTCCTACACATCATCGTTATGGGTCTTTTGGTATTATGATGATGGAGGTAGAAGGTGTGGAAATTATTGCATCATTATGTTTGCTATTGTTGGATTTTTAATTTTATGTAGGTACATCTGGCTTCCGATAGATCTAAAACATCTTGTCAGATATAAATAGGGTTGTTAATGGAGTAGCATATTTCGGTGCCATTACAGGTTGACCTCAATCCATATTAAAGTAGGTTTAAAATATGGTTATAAATTTGAAGTAACCGGAAGCATCCCGGTGCAGGTTTGAAGCATCCCGGAGTAGAATTTAATGTAAGGTTTAATTTAATGGTATTGGTCAACCCAACCCAATCTATTAACAACCCTAGATAAAAGTATTTGAATAATAAACTATCTATTATTTATTATTATTATTATTATTATTATTATTATTATTGCTAAAATTGGATTCATATTTGTAGGTATTATTTTATGTGGAATTTGGAGATGTTATATGATAAGAAAATTTTATAGAGAAGATCGTATATATAATACTACTGAATATGAAACAGCATTTGAAGCTTATGCGAGTGAACATGAAATTCCAACAAATAATCGTAGTCGAAATCAATCAGAAATACAATATCCTCCATTAAATGATCTACCACCAGCTTACGATACAGCATATGGTGCTGAAATGCATTTACATGGTTTAAGACATAATGCCAATTTTGAAGCATATAAAGCTGGTAGACAGTTTACCCGAGATCATCCTCCTCATGAAATATTACCACCAAGAGAACATATTATGTACATTATATTAAATGGAGGTCCTAAAGCTTGGAAAATGGTAATATATGATCAGAATGCTAATGATCTTGTAAGTGTATCAGATAGAGGACGTACTGTAACATTCCATGGAAAAAATGATGCAATGGTACAAGCAAATTATCCGCTTTTCAGGCCACAGCTTAATAATGATGACTCCTCACAACTAAATTCAAACATAGTAAATTCAACAATTTCGAATAATATACCACCACTATCAGATTTGCCACCAAATTATGAACAGAGTTTATCTGAAAAACCTACATCATCATCATCATCAAATTGGAATCAGGAAGCAGGATCTTGGTTTCATTATTTTGAAATAACAATAATATCAAATTCTAACAAACGAGATTCAACTATAGCTATTGGACTAACCACTAAACCATATCCCAGTGAGCTTTATTTTAACAATTCATTATTATCATCATTGTATTTAAATATTTTCTAAACCGTCATATTATTTCCTACCTTGTAGGCTTTAGGTATTTAAAAAAAAAACGAATTCTTGAAATTCACAATGTTTATAAGAATCAGAGTATTTATTATACATCATTTTTCTTTTCCTTTTTTTTTTTTTTTGTGATATAATAGATTGCCGGGGTGGAATAAACATTCTGTTGGATATCATTCAGATGATGGACATAAATTCAATAATGATGGTCTTGGAGGACGAACTTATGGCGAAAGATGGGGCGATGTTGGTGACATAATTGGTAAATAGGTTTAAAATTATATATCTACATTAATTTTATATTTAACATATATTTAATTTATATTTAATTTATTTTACTTTGTTTTACTTTATTTTACTTTATTTTACTTTATTTACTTTATAACAACGGATATTAAATATTCATAATTAAATAATTTATTTTTTACTTCGTAGGATGTGGTTATTACCCTGATACAGGCATTGTATTCTTTACCAAAAATGGGGAATTTCAAGGTAATGCATTTTCAGGACTAAAACATATCTGGTTTCCAACCGTTGGAGCTGATAATAAATGTAAAGTTGAAGTTAACTTTGGTGACGGAGAAAAAGAATTTCGATTTGTAGAAGCTAGAGGAATGTGCGTTTCTGGACCAAGAATCTAATCTCTTAATGATTAGCTATTTTATATACCGTGAAAGATCATATACAAGACCTGAGTATAATAAACCAGGGGTATAGTACACAAAAGAGCGCGGGCGTTTATATTGTAATAAGAAATTTTTTAAAGTACATACACGCTTTGATTAATAAAGTTATATGTGGGTCTACTATCCAAAGGGATTCTATATGATCTTTTGCGGTAGCCATTTTTTATATGTATATGTATATATGCATATGATTTTCTTAAAATTTCCGTAATTAAAAGTGGAGACGCAATTTGCTCGGTCAGCTTTATTGATTAATCTTTTTTTTTTTTTATGAGTTTGCCATTTGTATACCTAGTTAAAATTTTGAAACGTTTATTATCAATTCATTATTATAATATTCCAATCATTTAGTATTCAATAATCTTAGTATTCAATCATTTTTTAGTATTCATTTTCGTTTATTATTTAATTTATAGGTTCAAATTTCCCCGCATCCATTAATAAATTTCAGATACACATGAGTAACCGAACATCTATTGAGTTTTTAACATATTCGGACTTAGTTTAATACCATTCATTCAAATGATTTATAACTAGCAATCGTGCTGTATTTTATGCAAC